TAATGATACGAGCGAGCTCTAAACCCGCCCAGTCTACGTAGAATCAAACGACATCATCAAGTTAACTACAAGATATACGCGCCGACAGCGACGACGACCGCCGCGACGGAGCCCATAGTGGCCGTCACATGCGGCATAGCATCCGACGAGCTGGAGAGCATCGATCCGGAGCGCGGAGCGATGGCGCCGCCAGAGTCGCCTGTGGGACCCGAGTCCGACTCGGTGCCTGAGCCGTCCTGAGCCGTGGCTTCGTCCTCCGACGAGCTCGACTCGGTCGCGACGCTTGAGTCGCTGGTGGCCGAGTCGGACGTGGCTGACTCTGATGACGTCGTGTTCGATGAGCCCGAAGCGTCTGCGACGGTGGCACTAGCGCTGGCGGAAGACTCTGTGGACGAAGCTGTGGACGAGGCTGTAGTCGTCGCGGCACTGCCACTGGACGACGCCACAGCTGAAGCCACAGTGGAGACCGACGACGTCGTGTTGGTGGCGCCCGAGACACTGGAGATGGCCAACGCAGCGAGAAGCAGGACCTGAATCACCTTCATGATACTCTTTATCTATTGAGCTTATTCGAGACTTAAGTATTATCCCGGCCACCAAACCTTGGACAAACTTTGGTCCAAAAAAGGTAACCCTTCCCTTCACAAAACCCATAACGATAGTTAGATATAAGGGGTAAAATCGGGCGTAGATTCCGATTTTGAGGTCTATTTTTGCGTATCTGCAACCATTGATCTCCCAATCGGCCGTTTAAAAAAGGCTCTATATCTTGCAGAATTGTTTGCAATTGTGGGCTTGGCACGTACTAACATGCATGCATATTCATTGGCAGAGCCGGGATAACAGGTGGGGATTTTCAGAACCGGATGGATAAATTCCAAATATTACCGCAATCTGACGATTGTTAGAAAATTATAAACTTGTTAAGAAGAACCCGTCAAAAGAATATCTAGAGTGTAAAGAACATACAACGGGTCACCCGTTCATATTCCTAATCGGCTACAGCTTCATTGTCATCGACGGCGTCATCCTCTTCCGTGTCCTCGTTGCTGCCCTCTGGTTCCGATGCAATTTCGCATTCATCACCTTGCTGCAGATATTTTGTCTCGTATTTCTGGAGGCCTCCCAGATGGTTTTGGACCTTCCATCTGTCATAATTAATTTGTCGACCACTGAAATGATAAATATCAATAATAACTGAAATGATATGAAGTACAGCCTACCGAGGTGAAATTCTTGTCGTGGTGCTGCTCCCAGTGCGCCCATATAGCTGAAATGGTGCCCGTAGCAAAGCCTAAACACTCTTTGACATGATAACGAACTCCTCCTTTCCATAGATGCGGTGCAGAGGCCTTCTTTTGGCGGAGGAACTCGTAGGTCTTCACAACCAAGTACTTCTCAGCAGCAGTCAATTTCTTACCGGCGACCATTTGAAAAGTAGTGAACATTATTAGATGCTGTGAAGTTCTTACGAGAATAAATAGACACCAAGCTATCTATTAAGGGGACACACAACGAAATCGGCTCTACGGTTGCGGAGTTACATTCCTCTAATTTAAGATAAAATATATTACCATTTTTGTCCAAGCCTTTTTGGCCGGGATAATAGAGGTGATCTGCAAGAGAGCAGGCGTGGCCACATGATGGACTCCATCATGGAGGGAGAGGTCGGAGACTGATAGAGCCGAGACATTTGCATCGAAAAATGTTGAAATGTGCCGCTGGAATTGCCGGCTGACTTGATGTTTGTATGCCGGGCTGTCCACAATTCTGATTGCTGGATATTTGTGTGGTCGACTGTTGTCAAATCGAACGCACGTATCCATAGGTACCGCAGTCGTTGGTTGTTGCAGCACTGGCACAGAAGCGAAAGGCGACGGTCGTGTTATTAATACATGTACATGTAATAGCAGTTTGCATGGCCTCCGTCTTTTCATCGCCGCGGATTAATTTTCTTAATTCAGCTCCCAACCCGATGTTCAGGCGCAGCTGATTCCTAGGGGACACTTACAAACTACTTGGGGATGAAAATCCATTGCTTCTGTGGAGCCCGTTAGACACCGAAATGGGCTAAAAGACCGGTAGCTCAAGGATATTTTCCCAAGGCGGCGCACAAACAAAAGGGTTATCGACATCCTGAGAAGCATTCACGCTGCCAAATACGTTCCGCCTCGTAAAACTCTCCCCTTTAAGACTGCTTCCCACCAGGGTAAAATTTAAGGTTCTGTGTGGTACACTGTAATAACGCCTTAATATTTTTACGCTGACGTGCTGCGACTTTCAACGTCGCATTCGTGAAACAAAACGGGAAGACACACGTCGTAAGTTTAGGGATCGAAACGAAAATACAGACCACACCAACACGCTGGGTGATCTACGCATCGTTGGTTTCGGTCGTGGAGTATAGCAACATTTAAATCTTATTAATACTCTTTTCCTCGCTCCATTGCAATAATCTATTTTGTGCTAATTGCTCGATACACTAGAACTTACTGACGTCTTGGGTAAATATATCGTCGCAGCCTCTATCGATTTGAGTACCAAAACACCCTTCGATTTAATTTTCCAGCGACTATAAATAAGTGGTCTAGCTTTCCTTTACATGTAGTGCTAAAATAGGAGGAGATCTGTGCAATACTTTATTGCAACTTGATACTGTGGTATTTATTAGTTTTTTTAACCTTCCTATTTGACGATGCTTGCTACATGTCGTTACCGGTATTCAACCTCACACCGCGCACGCTTTTTGGTCCTGTAGAACGTGAAGACCACGATTGGACTTTAGCGTTAGAAGCACGGCTTTCAACGTTAGTTTGGTCGCTAGTTGATCTGTATAGGTCATTGGTGCGGATGGTCGTAGAGGTCATCTCTTCGCGTCGGTAAGTACGACTGCCCGTGTACGCCGAGTAAGACCGGCCATCACGTCGATTATCGACATTCGGTGGGATTCGGGGCGCGGAAGCTGCCGATGCCGAGTCCACAGAGGCAGATGATGCCTCAAGGTTACTCATCGCCATCTCCCAGCCAGACTGCTTCTTTGCTTTGAGTAGGCAGCTCATACAAAAGTGAAGAGAGCACTGCTGGACAGCGCCAGTGTCTGACACGTCCATGGTTATTTTTTTGGTCACGCTGCACTTCGAACAGACCACCTGACGGCAAATCGCGCAAGGTGTACCCGATCCAGAGGACGTAAGTGAAAACTTGCTGAAACTTTTGTCACAAGCCTCGCAACGAGAAACATTGGTGTGATCCTCGTCGTCGGCCTGGCGTTTGCTTGCGTGTTCCATGAGCCAGCGAAGCTTCTTGACGTAAGCACAGTCCACAACACCGGTACAGCAAATCGCCGCTTCTGCTGCGATTGACACGGATAGGCGGCCCGGCATATCGCCGCGAGAGTCGAAGAAACCGCGACAAAACACGTCGATCATGCCCGGTCTACCTTGACGGAAGAGGTAACAGAAACTCATTACGCCTCGGACAATGCCCAAGTGTGTGAGCTCGGGGATGTCCCGCAATGTTACGGAATGCATCAAGAAGTAGCCGACTCTTTCTCCCTTTGAGTCACGAGTAAAGCCGGAAGATTCGGTGATGAGAAAATCACGCTGCTGCACGATACCCGTAAGCACCACAGGGTGTTCCTTAGCGAACCATTTCACTCCTAGGAAACGACACGGATCGTCACGCGTCGGACCTCTAACAGTCGCTAGAATCCGAGCATCATCAAGACGGTCGTTGATATGTGAACTGCGCAACTTCCACGCTTCGTCGGTGGATGCAAAACAGCCAAACATACAGTCGTCCAGTGAGCCGTCCATGGAACCATGAAGCGCCATTAGGGCGACTCCGTGCGGACGCATTTTCTCCATGATACTGTCTCCAGCGACTCCAGACGAAGAAGACAAGGACGTGGCTCTAAAGTCCACACTACTGCTGCTCAAGGTGCGATACCTCGAGTATTCGTGTTCTTTAGACCACGATGGACTTTGAAGAATTGGCGAACCCGAATCGGATCCACGCTGGTTGATCGCCTTTTTCCGCTGACGATACACCTTCAGACCTTCTTTCGTGCGGACTAGCTTCCACAGTGGGTGTCCAAGTGTACATCCGTCAGTGATGAAAGCCTCATTCGCTGCAACGATCTCCTTGACGACGGTGTCCGCTTGCTCGGCCAATGCTGCCTGCTGGTTAGCAGACAACACGACTTGAGGAAAGGCATTTTTGGGAAGCGTAAACTTCATCTTTTCGTTTTTTTTTAAGTGAAGAGCTATCTCGGAGAGAAGAGGGTGTGGTAGCCAGTACTCTGGGTGGCTAGTACGCCACTCCATAGGTATCTCCAATCCCGAGCTTGCAGTTGCCTTG